TTACATTCCCATCAATAGTGCACAAGGGTTCCCTATTCTCCACATACTCACCAACACTTGTTATTTCTTGTCTTTTTGATAATAGCCATTCTAACATATGTGAGGTGATATCTCATTGTGGTGTTGATTTGCATTCAATCTAGATATTTATTAAGCACCCATGACACATAACGCACTGTTCATAATCCTCCAGGTCTCTTGAGACTATATTATTTCTATACATTTCTCACATAAATCATATGTTCCTCTTCATCCTCATCAATTCTCTTATCCTCAGTCTCTGCCATTATGCTTGGTCCATCATAGTAGGTGCTGGATAAGTATGTGAGCTGAACTGAGTAATTTAGTGGAAAAAGAGGGGCGCCTGGGTGGCTCATTTGGTTGATCATTTGCCTTTGGCTTAGGTTGAGATCCCAGGGTCCTGGGATCCAGCCCCCACTCAGCGGGGAGTCTGCTTCTCCCTCTCCCTCTGCCCTTCCCCGTGGTTGTGCTCTCTCTCAAATAAGAGAATAAAATCTTAAAAAAAAATTTAGTGGAAAAAGAGAAATACAAATTAGTTAAAACCTGGCAGGCTGTGATGAAAATGGTAACATATGCAAAGTACTTTGTACGTTGGGAGATCAGGAGAGAATAATTTTGATTAAGGTATCTGGGAAAGCCCTATGGGATAGGTAGATTTGATCAGGACCTGCATCATGACCGAGGAAAGGTGCTTAAAGATGGAAGTGAATTAAGGGTTGGAGATAAAAGTAAACTGGTTGTGTTTTGTTAGCAGAAAGTTATTTGGGGTGGCAAGAGAGTAGGGTGGGCCTTTGGGTCCAGGTGAGGCAAAAAAAAAAAAAGTAGTTGGGTCCCACATTTTGAGGATTTTGATATGACCAGTAATTATAATTGCAGCTTTCAAACGTTACTGAAAAGTACTGCTTTCGATGTGGCTTTGGACGTCAGGAGATGGGTGGGTCAGATTGCAACTGGCTTGCTGGTGGAAAAGGCAGGGAGTGGGAGGATGCCTGAGACCTTCAGAGTGTGAGGGGACTTTAGTGGCCAGTACTGAGGAAGGAGTGTCCATGAGGAGGCGGGCTGCGGAACCACGCTTATGAGGGGCGGCCAACCACGGCAAAGGTCAGCAGCGAAGCTCACAGCTGCCCTGGAGACGCCAGCGAAGGCAGCCGCTAGGTTTAATTCCCCCAGCGGGCAGGGGATCCAGAGCCCCGCCCCCCGGCCCTTCTCGCGCCTCTCGCCCCGCCCCGCCCCGCATCTCTCGCCCCGCCCCTCCCCGCGCCTCTCGCCCCGCCCAGCGTCCCTTGCTGGGCTCGGAGGCCCAGCAGCTCCAACGTTCTCAGCCACGCTCTGCGGCAGTCGCCCTCCCTGGGGCTGGGACGGCCGGCAGAAGGAGGATCTGGGCAGGCCGGTTGGCGGGAGGGCGGTTGCCTTTCCCGGATCTCACCCCCGGCCGCCCGAGGCGGGAGGAAACAGCGGCGAGGTCCGCGGGCGGCATGGCAGGAGCTGCGGACGAGCGCGGGCCCGGTCCCGCGGCGGGGGAACAGCTGCAGCAGCAACATGTCGCGTTCCAGGTCTTCCCCGAGCGGCTGGCCCAGGGAAAGCCCGGGCAAGGGTTCCTTTCCAGCTTCTTCACCAACAACCAGAAGTGCCAGCTTATGCTCCTGAAGACGCTGGAGACAAGTAGGAGCCGTGACCTGGAGGCCGGGGGTCGGCCGGGTGGTGTCTGAGACCCGGAGGCAGGGGTCTCTGGGTTCAGCCCCAGGTGTGGCAGGAGCAGGGTTCAGGCACCTCTGCGCAGTGTCTAGGTAGATTCGGCATCCTGGGGCGGGAGTGGTGGCAGGGAGAGGGGGGCGCGGGTTGGGCCTCAGTTTCCCTTTCAGAGGAGGGAAACTCTTGCTTGTGGAATGAGGGAGGAGTCGGATAGGAGTTTGCCCTTTTCGGTTACACTCACTGGTCTGACAGGTCCTCCAATTTCTCATGTAAATTATGCAGCAGTATGGGGACTTTGGAGTCAGAGTTTTTTTAATTTTTAAAAAATTTTTTAAAGATTTTATTTATTCATTCATGAGAGACGGGGGGGGAGAGAGAGAGAGAGAGAAGCAGAGGGAGGAGCAGGGAGCCCGATGCGGGACTCGATCCCAGGACACTGGGATCATGACCTGAGCCGAAGGCAAACGCTTAACCATCTGAGCCACCCAGGCGCCCCATCAGAGTTTTTTTTAAAGAGCTACGTTAACTAAGGCATGACTGCTGGCGGCTCAAAAGCAGTTCTGCAACTGCCCTTCATTGGGAGGAGTTCTTAACCTTCATACATGGATGGGCTTCCTCGTGTAGAAACCTCTGAAACGGACCAGGAAATCGTGTGTATGCACCTGAATGCATTTTTCTGGGGAGAGCGTTCTAACTTCATCATATTCTCAAAAAGGACCGACCCCCAAAGGGTTAAGAACCACTGCTGTTAAATAGGGACAACCAGTTTCTCTAGTCCCAGGGACATTGCACTAGAGATTTCTTAACTCCTTTACATTGACATGGACTTTCTAAGTTTACTTCAGATATGTTTAGAAAATAAAAGTCTTAAACCTACTTGTCCTAAAGCAAGGTTACTATCTCATAGCTGCCAATTACAGTTCAAAAGTCAACCACCCAAAGATTTTCCAACCTTCTTGAGATGACCTGCATAGTAGGGCATCAAGGGAGGGGGGAGAAGAGGGGTAATGGGAAGGAGGAGGTTGTGTTCACTTGGCAATGTGTGTCGAATGCCTCCTAGGTTCTGGTGTGGGGAAATAAGGATGCATAGGGACCCGGACTGTGCCTTTTAGAGGTTTGAAGTGGAACGCAGTGGAAAGACCATGGGCTGCAGAGTTAGACATGGGTTCAAATTCTGGTCCCTCTCCTTATCAGGTGTGGAAGACTTAACTCTTTGATCCCCCCTATCCTTATCTGCACACACAAAAAGGGAAAGGTAGGGGTAAAAATACCTCTCTTAGGGCTGTGAGGAATAGGTTTTATGAATGTAAAGTGTGAGCCTAGCAGGAGCTGAGTAATGGATAACTGCTTACCGTGGAAGAGCCAAACAGTGGAGGAGATACGGAGGTGGGACGTGAAGACCATGGAGGGCCGGCCATGAGCCCCAGGAGGAATTAACAGGCCTCAAGCCTCCCCTGGAGGGCTGCTTGGAGAAGTGTTAGTGGTTTTAAAGCATCAACCTCTAGCTTTACCATCCTATCCCTAGGACTGGGCCTCAACAGAGATCTTTGTTCCCTTTGTCTCTAAAGCAAATCCATTCTAAATACTGCAGGTCCTGTTTGAAGTACCAAACTACTGTGCTCCTTGCACTTACTATTGTTACCATTATTTTTTAGTAAGAGGACTATCGATTTTGGAATCCACTTCAACTTTGTAAAGCTCTCTTAGTTGCTTGAATAATAATGCACTTAATATGGTTCCTGACACCTGATATACACACACACAAAATACTTATCACTAGTAATTGTTTTACTGTTAACACTCTTTAAGAGGGGGCAGGTTAATAAAGCAGTTAACCTATGCCTATGTTTCTCACCTCTCATTACTTTTTCTTTACTCACCTATTTTTGCTTTCAACACTTAAAAAAAAAAACCTTGATTTCTTTTCTTTTTCTATTTTTTTGCTTATGTCATATAATATGCTGCCCATTTGTACACTCAGACGAGACACCTATATGAAAAGTTGGTATTAGAGGCATTTGGGTTTGTTGTACTTTCCTGTAATCATCAGAGGCTCATGATGCTTAGAAGGGCCCCCAGGACTCCTCTAGGACTTTCCACCCCCATATAGGAAAACCTCTGCACCATCACCAACCAGAGAGTTTCTAGACCTCTGCTGGAACAGGTTACCAATTCTTTGAGGTTCTTTGAAGCTACTGGTCTATTTTACTAACAGCTTTAATTGTTGGAAAAATCCTTTCTCGTACTGTACCTTCTACTCTTTGGTCCTTGTTCTGCCCCCTGGAGAAATATTGATGGAATCTATTCCCACATGGCACTCCTTCAAAACCTGAAGCCATTGCGGTCCTAGTTAAGTTTTTTATTCTCCTTTCCAAAGCCACAACGCCTTTCTTGCTTCTTACAGGACTTACAATACAAAGTCCTGTATTGTTCTAGTTGCCTTCCCCCGTGGAAGAGCTTCAGTTGGCAGGTCCTGCTTAGAGTGTGGTACTCAGAATGGGATCCTGTTAGCCTGTGGTCTGACCAGGAAAGATGCCAATGGGGCTCCTTAACTACCTTCTTCTAATCTGGATACTATGCTGCAGTTCCTTTCTATGGATGTGGCCCCAAATTCCCTCATTCTTTTGGTATGTGCTTTAATACAATGTTTTTGATCCTGTAACTAAAAATGGGCTTTAAAATCATTTTTGGCATTATTGAAGATGTTCAGTAGTACCCATCTTGGTATTCGTATCAGTGTTTTATTTCATTAAAGACTTGTTTTTATGTTAATTTAAGCTTGTCTTTTCATATCCGTGTTTACCAATTTTAAGATAGTATTACTTCATTAAGATGTGTGAGTTACTTTTTGATAATATACTGCTTTTTGGATAATTTAATTGGTTCTATTTTTTCCAATTAACATACTTAATTGAATCAATATCTTTTTAGATCCGTATGTCAAACTTCTACTTGATGCCATGAAGCACTCTGGTTGGTAAGTAAATCTTTTTAAAATGCTGGTCTGTATTCTGGCTGCTAAAAACAGAAAAACCCCATACTGGAACTAACTATTTTTCACTTCAGGCCACAAAGCCTTTTCCATATGGTAGGTGGTGGGGATGGGCTGTATTCTTTCTTTCTTTCTTTTTTTGTTTTTTAAGATTTTATTTATTTATTTGAGAGAGAGAGAGAACGAGAGAGAGAGAGCACATGAGGCGGGGAGGGTCAAGGGAGAAGCAGACTCCCTGTCGAGCAGGGAGCCTGATGCGGGACTCGATCCAGGGACTCCAGGATCATGACCCGAGCCGAAGGCAGCCGCCTAACCAACTGAGCCACCCAGGCGCCCGGGCTGTATTCTTTCCAGGCCGGTCTTGTTCTCTGCATACATCTTCTGCCCTAACTCTAAATCTCTGGCTCTACCATTCACTTCTGGTATTTGATAAAGACCGCACGTGAAGTCTTGTAAGTGATTACCAAACCTGGCTTTTCCACTCTACCAGCCTCAGCATTGTCCTTCATGGAGAAGAAACCTCAGCTTGTTATGTAGGAGCCTTCCAGGTGTTGTTTAATTTGGAGGAGATTAGAGGAGGTGACATCTGGGGTCCACTTGTTAACCTTCTGGCCCGAGGGGAGCAACTCCAGCATATTTCCAGTATGTTCTTAATCAGTGGACCAAATACTTTACGGAATCATGTCATGGAATTTGAACTAGGGTAGATTTTGCAGGGACAATTTCCTTATATCACAGATGAGACAACTTAGTCGTGACAGGTTCCCAAAGTTTCTCATGTGTTAGTGGGAGAGGGGATTTATGACCTGGGGCTCCTGACTCCTTACCCAGGGCCGTTTCCCCTGCACCGCGTGCACACTGCTTTTGGATGTTGTTTCTTTAATGCATGCTTGCTTTTTAGTGCTGTTAACAAAGAAAGACACTTTTCTTGTGAAGACTGTAATGGCAGTGTCAGTGGAGGTTTTGATGCGTCAACATCTCAGGTAGGCATTTTTGTCCAGGTGGTTCTCTTTCCCGATATTTGCTAAGCACCTTGGCATGCTGGCCATTCTGTTGGGTAGACTTTGTATAAGATTCAAAAAAGGAATTAGTTATGGTTCTTCCTCTTAAGGAGCTTCTGCTTTCACAGGGGAGATAAGACAATGATAAAGTCTGAAGCAGGTTAAACTATTTTAGGTGGGTGTGGTTACCACAAGGGGACTGTAATGTGATTGCAGGATACCTACAGATGGAGCTAGAGCATATAAAGCTTCTTCATGGGCAAAGAAGACAAAGACAGTTGCCCAAAGAAGGGGTAGCATGAGCAAAGGTGGTGTGTTGGGAAAGGACAAGGTATATTTGGGGAGTGGCATGTTGTCTAGTGTAGCTGGGGGGCAGGAATGTGTGGAGAATATGAGGAAATAGGATTGGAAAGAAAGGTAAGCCGTATGGGGGGAGGCCTTGAATGCTGAGCTGAAGGGGTTCACCTTTACCCGGTGAGAAGTGATATGCCTTTGAACATTTTTGGCTAGGGGAGTACGTTTTCTCCTCTGGAAAATATGGGTAATGATTGTATCTATCTTATAATATAGTTATGAGAATTAAATGAGATACCTCGTGTAAGGTACTTATCATAGTAAGCATTCAATAAAAGTTTTAAGCAGTTGGAGGGTTTGGACAGCATCTTGGAGGTGGCAGAAGAATTAGGTTGTATGATGAGAGTCGATGAAGTTTTTATAAGCAACACCTTCCATCCTGACCATACAACCCTGTTTAATAATACTTAGTTGTTTCCTCCTGGGGAATATTATATGCATTTTGGTTATTTATAGGTATTTCACAGTAATCATGAGAAAAAGAAACATAGCATAGGAGTGACAGGTCTGGGTTTGGGAGTCCGGTGGAGTTGAGTTCAAGTCTAGTTCCCCTGCTTATGAGCTGTGGGGCTCGGGCGAGTTGTTTGCCTTGTTCTCAATTTCCTCGTTTGTAAACTGATAATAACAATACTTGTAGCTCTCAAAATGGGTCTTGGTGAATTCATTTTCCCCTTGGGGTTAAATAGAGTGGACATTTTGAACTTTTATCTTACTTCTCAGCAGTGTTGAGCATAGTTGGGCACTCTCTCCTTTTATTTTTATAAATTATAATTTGTATTGTGAAGTGTCTCATTCATACAGAAGAGTAAGAAACCTGTATGCATGCTTTTGGTCATAGTGATAAAATGAATACCTGTGTAACTGCCGCCCAGATTTGAGAAATGGGACTTGCCAGGACTTCAGAAGATTGTGTCCCTCTTGGATCACATTTCCTCTCCCTTTCTCATTCTGACTCTTGTGATGATCATTTCCTGCTTTTCTGAATAGTTTTACCATCTATCTGTACAGCCAAACAATGTGTTATTCAGTAGCCTGGCTTTTAAGTTTTATACATGGCATACTTTGAGTTCTGTGTGATGCTTTGTAGTTTTATGAAATCCTACAGTATATGGTCTTCTGTAACAGTTATTTTGTTGAGATTCTTCCATGTTGTACACATCTCCCATTTACGTAGTTGGACTGTTATATAGTATTTCACTGTATGTCCATACTGCAGTTTACCGTATTTAATGTTGTTTCTGACTTTGTTGTGAACAATGTTGCTGTGAATATTTTTTACCCTTTCTCCTGGTGCACATGTGCAAAAATTACTCCTGGGTATTTGTCTAGAAGCAGAATTGCTGGGTCATATAGTATGCATGCACTTGGCTCTAGTGGGTAATGCCAGACACTTTCTTCCCCTGGTTCCCAGTACGTGACACTCTTGGGGTTGCTTCTTTGCTAGCTCAGCTTCCTCTGTCAGGTGCTAAATGTCGAAGTCTCTTAATCCTTGATGTTAGATCCCCTTCTTTTCTTCCTCTATACTCTGCCAAGGGGATCTCATTTATTTTCCTAGGTCAGAGCTCTCTTTTGAACTTCACATTTGTATATCCAAATGCCCACTTCACACCTACACTTGGATATCTTAAAGGCACCCGAGACCTCACAGATTTGTCCAAGACCAAATTGATGGTTTATACCATCCCCTGTCCCCATCCAACCTGGTGTTGTAGTTTTGCATATCTCAGTGAATGGTACCATCCTCTATCCTATTACCCAAGCCAGAAATGTGGAGATCATCCTTGTACCTCTGATTCCCTTCCCATAATTCTATATCTGTCACCGGTTTTTATCCAGTTTACCTCCTAAATATTTTTTTGGGGGGGCATCCCACCGTCCCTGCTCAGGTACCATTATCTCTTGCCTAGAATACCTCTTTAGCCTTCAGCTAGCCTCTCTGTATCTAGTTTTGGTCATCTTCTGCTTGTTTTTCCAACTGTAGTCAAAAGGATAAAAATAAAAGCACCCCCGTTTCACTCCTCCCTTTCAGTGACTTCCCACTGTTCTCAGGATAAAGAGCGATTGGGCTCTAGCCGGCCTCCGCAGCCTTATCTCGTGCCTGTCACCTACAGCTCTGTGCTACTACATGGGTACAGGTCTGCTTTCGGCTTCTCAGACATTCTGTTCTGTCAGCGCTGCTCCCCTTTGCACAGGCTGCTCTGTCTGGAATGCTCCCTTCCCCACCTCTCAAATTTAATTCCTATTCACCCATGAGATCCCAGTTTAAACATTCCTTCTTCAGAGATGCCTTTCCCAGTCCTTGAGACCAGGTCAGGCATTCTCATTGTATGTACTCATGACATCCTGGATTTTTCTTCATGACAACTGTCATTGCATGTCTTTAATGATTTTGGTAAATAATCGATTAATTTCTAGCACCATTCATAGATTATACATTAGAAATTATCATTATAGATTATAAATTATAAATAATTATAAATCTACTAGTAGGTCTCAAGAAATATTAGTTGAAAGATGAATGTTGGATGAATGTATATAAAACAGCTGGCACGTATCCCGGTGTCTGGCACAGGGTCACTGTTGTTATTAGGATCCCTTATGTGTTTATTATTCTTGTAGGGTCCTGCTCAGTGTGCTGTTGGCTTTTTGCACTTCTTTCTGAAGGTCTTTCTGAGGATTTTTCCCTGGCAGTTCTAGTAGAATGAGACAGTGGTGGTCATTCATTGTTGATTCGTTGCTCATTCAGAAACTTGCTAAGAAGCAGTTTACATGTATACTCATTTAAGGCTCACAGTTCTATGAGGTAGGTACTCTAACGATCGCCTTTTTGGAGTTGAGGAAACTGAGGCACAGAGAGGTTAAGAAACCTGCCCAAGGCCACCGAGTGAGTAAGGAGTGGGGCTGGAGTTTGAATCCCCTTCGTTCCAAAGCGCACTCCTAGTATGATGCTGTGGAGTCCAGAAGCCCACCGAGGATGGTATTTAATTAAGTGCTTCAGTTCAGACAGAAGAGGGAGAAGTTGGTCCCTGGGAACGCTTAACGGAGCATGTACCCTAGGACCAGGCCTTGACGGATGGGGAGGTGTGGGGTTGAGGGAGGAGAGTGGGTGGAGGCTCGCCAAGCTGGTGAGCCGTCTCACGCCAGAGAGAAGGTGGGGGTCACAAAAGGAGAGCAGACGTTAGACATAATGGAACTTCTATTTTGGCGCCTCCTAGATTGTTTTGTGCCAGAACAACATCCGTAATCAGGCCCATATGAACAGAGTCGTCACCCACGAGCTCGTTCATGCGTTTGATCACTGTCGTGCTCACGTCAACTGGTTCACTGACGTCAGACATTTGGCCTGCTCAGAAGTGAGTTTTATTGTAAAAGATACTTTCTCCCCCCGGAACACTCTTGAGTTTGAACATTTATATATGTGTATTTATTTATTTTTCTTGATTAATTTTTTATATTATTATTATTATTTTTTTAAAGATTTTATTTATTTATTTGAGAGAGAGAGAGAGAATGAGAGATAGAGAGCGCGAGAGGGAAGAGCGTCAGAGGGAGAAGCAGACTCCCCGCTGAGCAGGGAGCCCGATGCGGGACTCGATCCCGGGACTCCAGGATCATGACCTGAGCCGAAGGCAGTCGCCTAACCAACTGAGCCACCCAGGCGCCCTAATTTTTTATATCATTATTAACATATAATGGATTATTTGTTTCAGGGGTACAGGTCTGTGATTCATCAGTTGAATTTGAACATTTAATTGAAGTGTAATGTTTAAGACTCTCTCTCCCTCTGCCCCTCACTCCCCACCTCAAATAAATAAATCTTAAAAAAGAAAACCTAATTGAAGTATAATTTACTTAAACATACTCCTTTTCTTCCTGTCATGGTTCCATGTTACTCTTAGATTTCTGTTTCTAACTCCTGAACACAGCTTTGAGACACAACAAGAGATATTTTAAGTATCTTCTTAGAATTGTCTTAATTATAACCTTTAAATCCTAGTAATAGTAATGACTTTATAATAACCATTTTTAACCAAATAACCATTTTTAGTATATGATAGATATATTTTATATATATGTGTGTGTGTGTATATATATATATATATATGGTATATAATAACCATTTTTAACCATTTAACCAAATAACCATTTTCCCTGTGGAATAAATTATATAATATAAAAACTAATGCAAATTAACCCTGGCTGAGGACTATGTGCCAACACTGTTCCTTTTGTGTATTCTTATTGCGTCTACTCAACAGTCCATCCAGGTAGATGCTGTGATCTGCAAGTTCTGTGTGTCGAAAGGGAGGCATTGATTGAAATCCGTGGTTAGTAAGTGGCAGAGGCAGGATTGCAACCAGGGTTCTTAACTGGCTCTGCTGTGCTGCCTTCCATAGGTGGAGTGCCTTGCTTGCCCTAGAGTAAGACATTTAGTCTCAAAAATACGACATAAAAAGTTTTTTATGGTTAAGCACTTTGGGTTGCTGTCAGAAGTGCAGTATATTTATGCTCTTAGACATATGTATTTAATACGTGCATTTCATTAATTGAAGAGTGCAGTGTGCTGAGAAGTAAAAAAAACTAATATAAGTTTAAGTGTATACTTTATAACTTAGATTATTTTCTCTTTCCCTTGAAATTAATAAGCAGCCCCACTACATCTAATTATAACTCATATTATTTGGAGAGTAGACTGAAACCTGAGTTTTTAAATAGGTCTCTCTCTTGGTTGTTATGAGAATTAATGCCTGTTAGCTAGCTAAAGTATGTTAAGTGCCTTGAACTCCTCAGAGGAAGGAGGCCATGTTATTGTAGAAGACACAAGAAGTGGGCCATTCTGTTTGCAGTACATCAGCAAAAATGTGGCCAGGTTGGCTGTAGCATCCATGTGGGTAGTTCTAGTAGAAGGTAGAAAGACTTTTTCATCTATTGAAGCTGCATTTTACCTTAAAAATACAGCGAATTAGAAAATATGTCCTAACTTCAGGCTGTCATACTCATAGCATGACCAGTTGGGAATGTTCTTGTGCTTGGAATGTTCTTGCTTAAGTTTCAAGAACTTAATTTTTCAAAGGACAGTTGAGGCCCCGGAGGATGGCATCAATTTACACAGGTTTAAGGGAGGTTCCAAGAGAGTTTCAGTGTTTTGGGCGAAGGGCAGGAGGTTCTTATTCTCAAAGTGTCTTAGATGTGGTTGCGTTTAATTTTAAGCTTACATTGAAATTCAGTTTGTAGATCTTTGAAAGAATGCTATCTTGCAGCCCTTTTGGTAATTTCCAGAAATGCTGTATCTTGTGGAGAACATGGACTTTAACTCTGAGGTCCAGCTTTCTGACTTTTGGTTTCAAAAGGAATTAGTTCTTTCAATAAGGTTACGGTGTGAAGTTTTGAAAGTTCCCTTTGTTAAATGATTCACCCTCCCCCCAACCCCCAGTTTATTTTGCATTGTCTAGCCCAGCTTATGGATATCTGCTCTTTTTCTTAATGTAAGAATAACTTAAAATAGTCTATGTCAGAGTTTAAAACATCCTTGAAAAAGGTCCGATGGATACTCTATTTTCAGAAAGACATGCTAATTTTAAATTCTTTTACAAAACTTTTTATAGAGCAGGAGCACTTACTTTCCTTCTCTTTGCCTCTGTCTTTGTGATAGGTTCGAGCTGCTAACCTTAGTGGAGACTGCTCACTTGTAAATGAAATATTCAGGTTGCATTTTGGATTGAAACAACATCATCAGGTAAAACTAACATATGAAATCCCTCACCCTTCAGAGTGCTAGGAGTGGAAATAATGCATAAAGAAATGAGAAGTACATTTTGTATTTGAAATGTGAAAGAACTACTTCTATGGGAATAAATACAGAATGTATCCTGTTGAAGCCAAATAGATGGAGTTTAGTTCTACTTTTTAATTACGGGCAAGCTGTGTGACTCAGCGAGAGATTCTAATAGTGAAAAGAACTCTATTTTCTTGTTCTTGGGATCCTTTTGGAAGCAGGTAGATGAAGACCGGATGCAAAAATCACAGCCCGTCTGACTTTATCCCTGCAGTCCGGGACTTGTATTCCCAATCCCGAGACAAAAAAGTCATACCTTTCGGAACAGAGACTGCCCCACAGCACAGGTTATGGCCGTGTAGTGCACCTTTAAAGGCCGTGTGACATGACAGCAAAGCTTTGAATCAGCACAGCCCCAATGATGATAAGTCTCTCCTCTTTTTCCCTTGGGTAGCAGACACCGAAAGCGAACAGAACTAGCGACAGGAGGGAAAGTTTGGGGAGGTAGAGGGAGCCTGGCTGAGGGAGAACAGTCTTAGAGAATGGAGTGTCTGCGTTTGTACGGCACGTACCCAAGAGACACCGACATCGATGACAGTGACCGATGGCAAAATATGGTAAAATCACCCAGTTTTAACAGGAATGAATTACATTTGGAAAGAAGTAAACCTGAACTGTGGTCTATACATGTGCCTCCCAAACCTGTAGCTCCAGGAGACAAATTTTTACCATCGTTTCTTCCCCTGGAAGGGAGAAATGTCCTCTTTCTGGCAATTGCTGGCATAGCTCCATATGGTTCATCCTCTCTTTCTTCTTCCTTTATGCCTGGGGTTTATTTCTAAAATCAGTGTTTAGTGTAATTTAGGTCGAGAAGCACTGGTTTATATTCTTTTTTTTTTTTTTTAAAGATTTAATTTTTTTATTTGACAGAGAGACAGTGAGAGCGGGAACACAAGCAGGGGGAGTGGGAGAGGGGGAAGCAGGCTCCCCACTGAGCAGGGAGCCCGATGTGGGGCTCCATCCCAGGACCCTGGGATCATGACCTGAGCTGAAGGCAGATGCTTAACCACTTAGTGAGCCACCTAGGCGTCCCACTGGTTTATATTCTAACACTAGTGAGCATCTCCAGCTCAGGCTTGCTGACCAGGGTGAAGTAAAACAGGAAACACACACAGAAGATGAATGATTGACAGATTGCATAGCTGTAAGAACCAGTATTTGGTTATTTTTATGAAAAGGTTAGATGCCATTCTTTTGAACTTTAGCTTGGGCTTGTGGAGAAATAAATGGATTTAAAGCTGTCCAAGAATTGGAATGGCAGGACCTTATGTTTCTTAACATATTTAGAATACTGAGAAATTCTAGCCTATTACTATGTAACATTAGATAATTTATTTTCTTAGGTAGAGAATTTAATACCCATGCAAAGAACGCTCAGGAAAAAAAAAGGTTGTTTGATTTTTTTTCTCCTGAAAAATTAAGACACCTTCAAATTTTATGTATATGCATGTGTAGCTTCCATTTGCCTCCATGGGAGATGCCCCTCTTGAAGGAAAGATTATCTAGTATTAGTCAACTTGAAAGTAAAGGAAGACAAAGACATAGAAATAAAGTATATTTTAAATCTATTTAAATTTTATTAAAAATCCAACTAGAACCTTATTTATAGATTTTTTTTTGGTTTTTTTGATTTTTGCAAATTGGGAGTTATTGTTTGTTGTACTGCCTAAAACTTCAGAGAATGATATCTGGTTATATTATTGGAAAAGATGAAAAAATGGAGGAGGTCTTATTTATACCTAAATAATTTTAGATCGAGCTAAACATATTCCATAATTTAAGAGTTATGTTTCTACTTTAGAATGACAGAAATGAATAAAATAATATGAAAGGGAATTAATTATTTTTTCCATTAATATTTTAAATTTAAATTCAATTAATTAACATATAATGTATTATTAGTTTCAGAGGTAGAGTTCAGTAATTCATCAGTCTTATATGAAATCCAGTGCTCATTACATCACATGTCCTCCTTAATGTCCATCACTCAGTTACCACATCCCCCACACCCACCTCCCCTCCAGCAACCCTCAGTTTGTTTCCTATGATTAAGAATCTCTTATAGTGGGGCGCCTGGGTGGCTCAGTTGGTTAAGCCTCTGCCTTCGGCTCAGGTCATGATCCCAGGGTTCTGGGATTAAGCCCCACATTGGTCTTCCTTCTTAGCGGGGGGTTTTCTCCTCCCTTTCCCTCTGCCCCACTTCCCAGCTTGTGCTCTTTCTCTCTTTCTCTCTCTCTTTCAAATAAATAAATAAATAAATAAATAAATAAATAAATAAATAGATATTAAAAAAAAAGAGTCTCTTATGGTTTATCTCCCTCTCTGATTTCTTGTTTTTTTTTTTTCCCCTCCCTTCCCCTATGATCGTCTGTTTTGTTTCTTAAATTCCACATGAGTAATTGTCTTTCTCTGATTGGCCTATTTTGCTTAGCATAATACCCTCTAGTTCCATCCATGTAGTTGCAAATGGCAAGATTTCATTTTTTTTGATGGCTGAGTAAAATTCCATTGTATATAAATACCACATCTTCTTTATCCATTCATCTATTGATGGACATCTTGGCTCTTTCCACAGTTTGGCTATTGTGGACATTGCTGCTATAAACATTGGGGTGCAGGTGCCCCTTCAGATCACTACATTTGTATCATTGGGGTAAATACCCAGTAGTGCAATTGCTGGGTCATAGGGTAGCTCTACTTTAAACTTTTTGAGGAACCTCCATACTGTTTTCCAGAGTGGCTGCACCAGCTTGCGTTCCCACCAACAGTGTGAGAGGGTCCGAAAGGGAATTAATTCTGACTGTGGTCAGACATTATATAAAATGTCATTATTTCATGATTAAATTGTCATTTAAGTTAAAGCCACATACTTTTCTTTCTCCTTAGAACTGTGTACGAGACAGAGCCATTCTTTCTATCCTGGCTGTTAGGAATATCAGCAAAGAAGTAGCCCAAAAGGCTGTTGATGAAGTTTTCGAATCTTGTTTCAATGACCATGAACCTTTTGGAAGGATCCCACATAACAAGACTTATGCAAGATACGCTCATAGAGACTTTCAAAACCGTGATCGGTATTACTCAAATATATGAAGAAAATGACATTTTATATTATGGAGCTTCTGTGATCATGCAGAAAATATGGTTCTTAAGTGGACAAATATATAAAATGTAAATGATCAATTAAATACAGATAAAACACAGAAGATACTGATTCTAGCATATGATCAGAAAAAGTAACTGTGGTAAAAGTGAAACTGCCTTTAACTCCAAGGCAAAAATTGTAACTTTATAGTTAACCATTTGGTAAATAGGGCAAATAAATTACATTTTTGTATTTTTTTATGCTGTACTTGTGTTTTTTATTATTTGTGGTTTTTTTAGACTGTGATTTGTTTTTTTTTTACATGTGATTATTTTAAAATTTGATTATGAAACCCGTGAAGTGTGTCCTTGTATGAAGTTGATAGGTGACCACTGTTGGTATTTACATTAAATGTAAAGAAAAATGTACTGATTTTATTATAGGACATTTATTGAAAGGTTATGATGGTCAAAATATGCAAAGAATGCAAGTTGGGAATGATTCCTTCAATGGTCCATGCCTCCCTTCTCCTTCTTCTTCTTTGAACATATATGTGGGGACTACATGGCTTAGTTTTCTGGGGACGGTCCTAATCAGATTTTTCTTCTTTTGTAAAGGCAGTGCATTAAATTTATAATGTAATTGAATTTAATTTTTATGTATTTATAAGATTTTTCATATAATCATTCTCAAATCTTTTGTCAGGCCCTATGTCTGAGTTTTAGATTCAGAAAACAGGTCATCTTATCTATTCCCCTTAACTGGTAGCTGCATCTTACACCTGGCCTACGTCCAGACTGAAAGACAGTGATGCCTGTGTGTAGATGTGGCTAATTAAGGATTTAAAGACAAGGAAGTTAGCAGGATTATTTCTTGTGAGTTAAAATTTGATTAAATTATAAAGTGATACCCAAGCTTGATAACTTATTCAACATTAAAACAAGGTTTGAGGATTCTGGGGAGACGGCAGAGTAGGAAACAACAGAAATCTGTTTCCCCACCTAGACAAAATTGCACTGGCAGAATCTTATATAAATATTTTGAAACTGGAGTCTGAAGGCTCCTAATTTTCGGGGAAAGGCTTGGGTGGTAAATTGCAGTTAATTTTGGTCAATTTCAGCTCTTAGCATAGTAGTAGCTACCCATCTTCCACCACTCTGCCCTGTGGCAGACAGCAGTATATGTGTTCCTGGAGTAGCTTGTACACAGATTGTGGAGCCAGGGTGGGCAAAAAGCACCCTGTCTTCCATATATTTGGGACCTGCTCTGATTGCTGCTTTTGAACACAAGAGGTTCAGAGAAAAAGGTGGTGGCATTGTTGCAACCCCTCCCATTTTTGCTAACTGCTTCCCATCTGGCTGAGGTGACTTTCAGGGTCTTTAAAGGGCTGGTGACTTTTGTCATCCTTCATTTTCCCCTTTTGGGATCCAGACCTTGAAGACTAGGCCATTCAAAAACAATGGCAGGGGCGCCTAGGTGGCTCAGTCGGTTAAGCGTCTGCCTTTAGCTCAGGTCATGATCCTGGGGTACTGGGATCAAGCCTGCATTGGGCTCCCTGCTCAGTGGGGAGCCTGCTTCTCCCTCTCCATCTGCCACTCCCCCTGCTTGTGCCCTCTCATGCTCTCTCTCTCAAATAAATAAATAAAATCTTTAAAAAAAATGAAAAAAAAAACACCACTAAAGACAATGGCATATACAGGTGGAATTAGAAAGTCATCAGGCATGCCCAGGGAAAGGCATAGGCTCAGAAAAACCCAAGTTTACACCTCAGGCTGATCCTTGGCCCAGAGACAGCCTGCAACAATTAAAAACAAAAACAAACCCAAAACAACAGCTAACCCTGAGGAAGCAGAAGAATCTGATTTTCAGAGTTACCACATTATTATGTTCAAATGTCCAGTTTTTAACCCAAAAATATCACAAGGCATACAAAGGATACACAAAACATACACAAGAAAGTGTGGTCCATTCAAAGGAGAAAATAAACTAACAGAAACTTTCCCTGAAAAAACCTGATGGTGGATTTAACAGACAAAGAATTTAAAACAACTGCCTTAAAGATGCTCAAAGAACTAAAGGCAAATGTGGAGAAAGCCAAGAAATGATGTACAAACAAAATGGAAATATCAATAAAGAGATAGAAAACTCAAAGAAAACCAAAAAGACCTGGAAAGTACAATAACAAATGACAAAAATCCACTTGAGGGATTCAAAGGCAGATTTGAGCAGGCAGAAGAAAGAATCAATAAACTTGAAGAAAAAATTATTGAGTCTAAAGGACAGAAAGAAAAAAGAATGAAGGCAATGGAATAGAGCCTAAGGGACATGAGGGATACAATCAAGTTGAAAAACATATGCATTGTGGAAGTCCCAGAAGGAGAAGAGAGAGAAAGGGGCAGAGAGAATATTTGAAGAAATATGGTTTGTAACGCCACATTTTCTTTTCTACATAATTTTAGAGACTAACACATTAAAGAAGTTATTAGTTTATGTTTTGGGGCACACAATGTATAAATACATAATTCTGTGGCACCAACAACTGAAAAGGATAAAGACAGAGTTTTAAAGGAGAAGAATTTTTGTACCTTATTAAAGTTACACTGGTATAAATTCAAAATAGAGTGTTAAAACTTTATGATGTTAAACGTAATCCCCATGGTAACCACAGGAATATAGCTATAGAATATACACAAAAGGACATGAAAAAGGAATTTAAATGTTCACTATAAAAAATCAAGTAAACACAAAAGAAGAGAGTAATGCTGTACATGGGAGACAAAAAAGGTGTAAGGTATGTAGAAAAATACATAGCAAGATGCCTGAGGTAAATTTGCTCTTACCAGTGATTATGTTATTATTTTGACAGATTTTATTTATTTATTTTTATTTATTTTAGAGCGAGAGAGCATGAGCAGGGGGAGAGGAAGAGGGAGAGGGAGAGAGAGAATCTCAAACAGACCTCCATGCTGAGCATGGAGCTTGAGGCAGGGCCCAATCGCATGACCCTGAGATCATGACCTGAGCTGGAATCAAGAGTCGGATGCTCAACCGACTGAGCCACCCAGGCACCCCTCAGTTATTATTTTAAATGTAAATGGATTAAACTCTCCAATCAAAAGATTGGCAGAGTGGATTAAAAAAAAAAATGACCCAACTATAAAATGTCTACAAAAGACTCAGTTAAGATGCAAACACAAATAGATTAAAAGGAAAACAATGGAAAAGGATATTCTGTGCAAATAGTAACCAAAAGAGAGCAGGGTTGGCTATCCTAACATCAGGCAAGATAGTTTACAAGAGACAGAGACAGAGACAGAGAAGGATTTTGTATATTAATAAAAGTTTCAATAGAGTGAGAAGATATAACATTTACACACCTAATAACAAACTACCAAAATAGGTGAAGCAAAAGGGACAGAATTGAGGGGAGAAATAGATGGTTCTACAATAATAGCTGGAAACTTCACTACCCCACTCTCAATAATGGATAGAACAACCAGACAGAAGATAACCAAGTAAACAGAAGACTTGAACCACAAAACAAACCAACTGGATCTAACAGACATACACAGAACACTCTAACCAATAAAAGCATGCACGTTCTTCTCAAGTGACATGGGATATTTTCCAAGGTAGACTATATGTTAGGCTATAGGCTACAAACTAATATATCAATATATTTAAAAAGATATTATATAAAGTATCTTCTCTGACCCAAAAGGGATGAAAGTAGAAATTGATAACAGAAGGACAAATGAAAATTTACAGATTTCTGGAAATTAAAGAACACACACAACCAATGGATCAAAGAAGAAATCACAGGGAAATTAGAAAATACTTAAGGCAAATGAAAACAAAAACATAAAGTACCAAAAATTATAGGGCACAGCAAAAGCAGTGCTAAATGAAAAATTTATTGCTATAAATACTTATGTTAAAAAACATGAAAAATCTCAAGTCAGCAACCTAACTTTACCATGGAAGGAACCAGACAAAGAGGAACAAACTAAACCCAAAGCTAGCAGAAGGAAGGAAATCATAAACATTAGAACAGAGACCAGTGAAACGGAGAATAGAAAAATAATAGAGAAATTAATAAAACCAAAAGATCAACAAAATTGACAAACCTTTAGCTAGATGGACTAAGAAAAAAAGGGAGACTTCAAATTACTAAAATCAGAAAGTGGGAATATTACTACCAAACTACAAGAATAAAAAGGATTATGAGAGTACCATGGACAAATGTACACATACATATTGGATCACCTAGATGAAATGGACAAATTCCTGGAAATGCAGCACCAAACCAGAAAGAATAGAAAACCTGATTAGACCTAAAACTAGTAGGGAGATTGAATCCATAAAAAATCTTCAGGGGGAGATAGTCCAAGATGGCAGAGGAGTAGGAGACCTTAGTTTAGTGTGGTCCCAGGAATTCAGCTAAATAGCTATCAAATCATTCTGAACACCTGTGAACTCAACCAGAGCACTAAGAAAAGAAGCGCTGCAACTCTACAAATAGAAAAGCGACCATTTTCTGCAAGGTAGGAGGTGCAGAGAAGGGAATCTGAGGTGATATATGGGAAGAAAGACCGCAGGGAAAGGGAGTCTCCCTCAGCCAGCTACCGGCAAGTGGTACAGCAGTGGAGTAAAAAATCAGAACTTTTAGAAGTCTGCACCGGTGAGAGACGTCCCTGCCTGAAAGATGCTCAGGTGGCAAAGTGGGGTGGAATCCTAGGGGGACAGTGTGGTGTCAGGATCCCGGTCACAGAAAACCGGGGTGCCTGGGTGTGGCAGAGCTCCCAGGCATCAGAGTGGGGAAGCCGGCTGCTATCAGAGTGGGCTCTCAGCTCGGGGTTGCCCTATACCTCTAACCGCAGCACTGTCGGGTGACTGCTCTCCGGGCAGGGGCCCAGCAAGTGGCAGAGCCTCAGCGAGACCCCACACCCTCCCCCCAGGAGGAGAGGCACAGGAGCGCGCTGCTGGACTCTGCTGGGTTTGGAGACTCCACACGGGGTTGGGAGCCAGAGATAGAAACACTCGGTCACAGGCTGGGTGAGCATGGAGTGCTGCCGGAGATCGGGGAGACAGGAGTGATTGACTGCTTTTCTCTGGGGGCGCACTGAGGAGCGGGGCTCCGAGTTCTCGGCTCCTCCGGGCGGAGGTTGGGAGGCCGCCATTTCACTCTCATCCTCCAAAGCTGAAGGGAGAGCTTGCAGGAAACCAAAGCTCCCGAGAGCAAACCCGAGCCTATTACT